GTGTCCTTTTTTACTCCAAATAAAGTAAATATTTTGTCTTAGCCAGCATTTATTTATGAAATTTAGTGTAAAAAAGAACATAATAGATATTACAATACATATTCTTATTTATATGTATATACAATATAAATTTATATTGAATTAAACAGTATTAAGAACCAAAACAAATTTTAATAACAGTTTTACATACATATATGACTGAATAATCTAGATGATAACTATTTAATTTAAATAAATATTACAAAAATAATAAAAATCTACATAAAACTCATCTATTAAGCCATTTAAATTATAAAATGTTATAATATTTAATAAAAAAACTCCAACCGCACACATAGAAAATAAAATAGAAAATCAGCAACAGAAAAACCTCGTAACTATTTAAACAGATGTCAATGTTTGTATAAAAATCAAGCAAAAAGAACTAAATTAAACATTAAATTTATATTGTGTACTTACTAATACATACAATTCACATACTAAAATGAATGTATTTACATACAGCATGTATGTATTTGATATTTTTATATACACGCTTACATATCCATTAAACAAATACTAGTACACAATTGCATAGAATTGTAAATAGTGGAGGCAAAAATTTACAGGATTATTAAACGAAAATAAATCTTGTCTCATAGACCCTCTATGTTCAGGGAAATGTACTTAAGTACGAAATTCAAAAGTATACACTTTTTTTGCTCAATGAAAAAGGTTCAAAAATAGTTATTAATACAATTTTTAAGTCATAAGTACACAAAATTACAATTTTGACACAAAAAATTGATTTCTACACCAAAATTGAATTTTTAGCCAAAAACTAAATTTCATTCAAAGGAAAATTTTTACACAAAAACACCGTTTTTATACAAAAACATGATTCCTACAAAAAACTCTGTTTTTACATAAAAAATTAACTTTTACATACAAAATAATTTTTGACACTAAAACAGAGTTTTTACACAAAAAAAAAATGTATACAAGAGCTCAATTTAGTCACAGTTCAGCATAACAGTTCACAAAACTACACTAAAACTCTGTTTCTACACAAAAACTCTGTTTTGGCAAAAAAAAAATCTGATTTTACACAAAACCTTTGTTTTTAAACAAAAATTCAGTTCTTACACAAAAACTCTTTTTTAAACAAAAACTCTGTTTTAACAAAAAAAAAAAACTCTTTTTTAAACACTTTCTTTACACACATATTTTTTACACAAATTTAGTTTTTACACAAAAAACTGTTTTCACACAAAAACTCTGTTTTTACACAAAAACTCTGTTTTTACACAAAAACTCTGCTTTTACACAAAAACTCTGTTTTACACAAAAACTCTGTTTTACACAAAAACTCTGTTCTTATACAAAAACTCTGTTTTTACAAAAAACTCTGTTTTTACACAAAAACTCTGTTTTTACAAAAAACACTGTTTTTACACAAAACTCTGTTTTTACACAAAAACTCTGTTTTTACACAAAAACTCCGTTTTTACCCAAAAACTCCGTTTTTACCCAAAAACTCTGTTTTCACACAAAAACTTCCACACAAAAACTCTGTTCTTACACAAAAACTCTGTTTTTACACAAAAACTCTGTTTTTACAAAAAAATCTGTTTTACACAAAAACTCTGTTTTTACAAAAAAACACTGTTTTTACACAAAAACTCTGTTTTTACACAAAAACTCTTTTTTTACCCAAAAACTCCGTTTTTACCCAAAAACTCTGTTTTCACACAAAAACTTCCACACAAAAACTCTGTTCTTACACAAAAACTCTGTTTTTACACAAAAACTCTGTTTTTACACAAAAACTCTGTTTTTACACAAAAACACTGTTTTTACAAAAAACACTTTTTTTACACAAAAACTCTGTTTTTACACAAAAACTCTGTTTTTACACAAAAAATCCGTCTTTACACAAAATCTCCGTCTTTACACTGTGTTATTACATATAATCTCTGCTGTAAAAGGCAATATTCTGCTGAAGTGTGTAAAAAGTACTTTTATATCCAATTACAGAAAGTAGATTATCGTTTCTTCAACATAATATTTGCATATTCGTTTTAACAATACAATTATTCTAGATGTAAGTTAATTACGATATAAGAATTCATTTATATGCTTTTAAGAATGGCCCGCTTTATAGAAAGACACTATTTCTGTTTCACTTTAAGTATAGGATATCAAAGAGACCCTTATTTATGATTCTGAGCTGATGCCAACATTATTAGTTTTAGAGAAATGATACGTTTTGTTTTAACAGGACCATACTAATATACTTTTGTATGGTTGACAGCATATGGCATACATATACACATATTAGTTCTACTACAATAATACTACGCTTGTATGTAAAAACGTAAAGAAAACTATTGTTATTATTATTTTTTTGTCCTCTGAGCTTTTTTTTTTTTGTCCCCATCCTAACAATCTTTATTTTCATTCAGTATTTATTTGAATGTATGTCTGTAGGTGTGTATATAGAAATGTTTCTATATGTATATATATTTATATGTGTGTATGATTATTTGTGTTTAAATGTTGATGAAATAGTGAAATGAAATGTCATCGCCTAAAGCTACTTAAACAGTTTCTGTTTCATTATTGTTATTTTAGTACGTATGACTACAAAATAATATAACAAAAGAAAATTTAATATAAAAACTACAAAAAAGAAGAGCAAAAAAGGGTGATATTTAAACCAACAGCGCTAATAACCTTGTAGGGAAAAATAAATATACATTCCTACAAAGGTCGGTTCTACATTCATTAAAAATGTTGCATAAATTAATTTGGATTTTTTTTTTTTTTTTGATTTTTATTAAAAAAAAAATTTAACAAGTTGGTTAAAGGAAAAACAAACGCCTTTTATTTGGCCATTATTTGACATTTTATAAACTTGTTATTATTAAAGCCCTTGGAAATCAATTTTAAATTGTTTTATATTCCTTAAAGATAGTTGACAGTATTGCAAAAAGAAAACCTATTTTTCTTCTTTTATTTTTAACTATCAGTTTAGTTTTCCCTTAGTTCTTGATATTTTGAACTTGACAATTTCATTTCTTAACAAATTCCCTATTGGGTTTATTGCTACATGTTCACTATAAATATATTGTTTCAGTGCATGTTGCATGGGACGCGTATATGCAAAAATAAACATTCTATTTCCTAAAGACAGTGCGAGAAATAGTTTCAGGAAAATTTATAATATATAATTGTATTTAAAAACACCTAATCTATAAACTGAAAAACTCTCTTTTTTGGACTTAAAAGCTATAATTTCACACAAAAACTTTGCTTTTACACAAAAACTTTGCTTTTACACAAAAACTCAGGTTTAACCAAAAGGTCCGTTTTTACACAAAATCTGTGATTTTACACAAAAACTGTGTTCTTACACAAAAACTGTGTTTTTTTTACACAAAAACTGTGTTTTTACACAAAAACTGTGTTTTTACACAAAAACTGTGTTTTTACACAAAAACTGTGTTTTTACACAAAAACTGTGTTTTTACACAAAAACTGTGTTTTTACACAAAAACTGTGTTTTTACACAAAAACTGTGTTTTTACACAAAAACTGTGTTTTTGCACAAAAACTGTGTTTTTACACAAAAACTGTTTTTACACAAAAACTGTGTTTTTACACAAAAACTGTGTTTTTACACAAAAACTGTGTTTTTACACAAAAAATGTGTTTTGACATAAAAAATCTGTTTGAACACAAAAATTCAGTTTTTACACAAAAATTCGGTTTTTACACAAAAACTCTGTTTTTACACAAAAACTCTGTTTTTACACAAAAACTCTGTTTTTACACAAAAACTCTGTTTTTACACAAAAACTCTGTTTTTACACAAAAACTCTGTTTTTACACAAAAACTCTGTTTAACACAAAAACTCTGTTTTCACACAAAAATTCAGCTTTTACACAAAAACTCAACTTTTACACAAAAATTCAGTTTTCACACAAAAACTCTTTTTTTACACAAAAACTTTGTTTTTACACAAAAACTTTGTTTTTACACAAAAACTCTTTTTTTACACAAAAACTCTGTTTTTACACAAAAACTCTGTTTTTACACAAAAACTCTTTTTTTAACACAAAAACTCTGTTTTTACATAAAAACTCGATTCGAAACAAAAACTATATTTTACATCCCATTTTGTACTTAATAACTCTACTTTTAACTATAAATCCCACTATAGACTTTGGTTTATAACTTTTCCGTTTATGCAACAACCTACAAATCACACTCGTGCAACAAATTGTGTATGTGTGTCAGTTATAAAAACTATGTCTCTTTCAAGGTTTCTTTAAAATTTTTTCTCATTTTTTTCTGAAATCTGTAAAAAAGAATGACAAATGTTGGAACACAAAATAAAAAAAAAGACGCAACGGAAAATATGGCAAAAGGATATGAAAGTGCATATTTCAGCAACATTCTTGTTATTTTATTTTTCTATTAACTTTAGTTCTAGTTACTGTTTCTTTCTTTTTTTTGTCATTTATTTATAAATATTTCTGTTTTTTTTTTCTGCGTTTGTGGGTTACATATTTAACTTGACATTTACTTAGTTTTTCACTTATGGATGGATGAATAAATGGTTCATTGGATGGTTGGTTGGTTGGTTAGTTGACTGCAGGGTTAGCTCTTGCTTTCTTATATATGGATTGTGTAATGCTTGAAGGAGTGTGAGAACGAGTAAATTTTTTTTATTATGCGTCATTTAACCATGTTGTAAATCAAAATGTCAATATGATGAAATAAATACAATAAGTTTAGTTCGTTGCTGATAATGGTATGATAATATATTTTATTGTATTTATGATATATTCTGCAGCAGTTGACACTATATCTATTTTTAAGGAAACATTTTACATTAGTTCAAAAGCTCAGTTAAATCAAAAAATTATTACTTGTCATTTCACTTTTTTAGATTTTTTATATTACTTTTAACTATTTATTGATTTGTTTTCGTACTTCTATATTTTCTTTTCAGTGCGGATGAGGGTTTTGATGGTACTTATGCCACTAATGTTGTGGTGCGTAATAATGGTTCTTGCCTTTATGTGCCGCCCGGTATTTTTAAGTCAACGTGTAAAATCGACATTACTTGGTTTCCCTTCGATGATCAGAGATGTGAAATGAAATTTGGCTCTTGGACCTATGATGGTTTTCAGGTGAGTGCGACAGTTGTTTTAAAAGTTATTACTTGATTAATAGCAAGAATTTGTAAACTAAGTTGGGATCGAAATTTAGTTACTAAGAGGGTCAAAATAACACTTGGACATCGTTCTTCTTCTACATTTTATTTTAAGTTTAGTAGTAGAACTGAACTAGAACTGAACTAGAACTGAACTAGAACTGAACTAGAACTGAACTAGAACTGAACTAGAACTGAACTAGAACTGAACTAGAACTGAACTAGAACTGAACTAGAACTGAACTAGAACTGAACTAGAACTGAACTAGAACTGAACTAGAACTGAACTAGAACTGAACTAGAACTGAACTAGAACTGAACTAGAACTGAACTAGAACTGAACTAGAACTGAACTAGAACTGAACTAGAACTGAACTAGAACTGAACTAGAACTGAACTAGAACTGAACTAGAACTGAACTAGAACTGAACTAGAACTGAACTAGAACTGAACTAGAACTGAACTAGAACTGAACTAGAACTGAACTAGAACTGAACTAGAACTGAACTAGAACTGAACTAGAACTGAACTAGAACTGAACTAGAACTGAACTAGAACTGAACTAGAACGGAACTAGAACTGAACTAGAACTGAACTAGAACGGATCTAGAAATGTAACAGGAACTTAAAGAATTTATTGATTTTCAACGAATTTTTGAACTAAAACTGAAAGAATTTATGGATATGCATTAATTTTTTTGTAATTTTTTTTTATTAAAATTTTAAGCAACCACAATTTAATTTCTATAATTTTTAAATTTTATAATTTAAATTTTGTTGAGTTTAATGACCTCTCTGTCTGCAGTTATTGTTACTGCTTTTTAATTTCATGGTGTATTAAATCTATAGTCTACTTTTAGGTTTATTAATTACAATTATAACATTTATTATAATATTGTTTTAGTTTTTGTTTGGCTTTCATTACTACAATGCAAATGTATTTGAATTTTTAAGGTTTTAATTTTAATTTCATTAACATAATAAATAAATATATTTTATTTAATGGTTGCTGTTTAATTTGCATTTGATATACAAATTATATAAATGAGTCTAAATAGGGATATAAAAATAATAATAATAATAATCATGATAATTATATTTGATTGTAGTTAAATAAAGAAATTAATTTAATTGTAAATTATGTGCGTATATTGTGATATGTAAGTGCTATTTACGATAATATGGTAATTAGATTTATCATATTTGCTAAACTTTGTTAGTATAGTAAAATTTGTGAATTTAAATATGATCAAAATTTTGAACAACACATTTGTAGTTAAGAATAATCTTCACTCCATGTCAAAAGAGTTTTTAAAACCTCCAATACAACTAACTACCATTCCTTCAGAAATCTTTCGAAAAATTACTTTCACTGCCCTATTAGTATTACTTTTTATTTTTGTATTTTATCCAATACATTTTATCATTTACTGTTGTATTCCTGTAATCTATTTTTTTCTCCAGGTTTTGCTTTAAATTAATTAAAATGTAATACAAATATTCATTGCGGTAATTCAATGCAAATTGATACCATTTAATCTGTATTAGTAAGTTTTTAGATTAAATTAAATCCAGCAATTCCTGTTTATTAATCCTATTAAAATTATAGCATAGTTTTAGTAAACGTTAAAATTTTTCATACACTTTTTTAGTCCAGCTTTTAAAATACTAAAATATTTAGCATACATTTAGGTTATTTCATTTGAATTTTTATCATTGAAATATTTTATGCTTTTAGGATTTTATTTTTATTTAAATCAACAATTTTTTTAGGGATTTTTTTGGAAGTTTAAATTCATTCATGACTGGGTTATTCAATTTAAATGTAAATTTTCTTTTTTTTTGTTCTAACTATTCGTATTTTTGGTTTCATGGTTTGTTGTGTTTCATCACAAAAGATTTGCATTTGAAATTTCATTGAGTGTAAAGGAAAGTTAACATCGCCACCATGAAGGAAGTACAAATATATGTACATACATATACATATTTTAATTCTCCAAAAAATGTTTAATTGTGTTTTTTTTTTTTTTTTTTTTTGTTGTTTCGAGTTTTCAAAGGTGTATTGAAATTAATTTTATACGTGGAATTTTTATTTGCAACCAGTATTTTTGTATTTTATGTTGTGTCATATTTATGACTGTGAAACTCTTAATAACAAACAAAACTACATAGTATTTGAAAACAATATTATATTTGTATTGTTCCTTTATGGTAACTGCAATTATCAGCAAACAAATTCAATTTTCTGTTATAAAATATTTAAAAACCCATAAAAAGTTGGAAGCAAATAAAAAAAATGATAAAATGTTCACAATAAAAATTATGAAGGAGTTGTTCAAATCAAATTCAGTTCTAGTTCAGATCTAGTTCAGTTCTAGTTTAGTTCTAGTTCAGTTCTAGTTCAGTTCTAGTTCAGTTCTAGTTCAGTTCTCGTTCAGTTCTAGTTCAGTTCTAGTTCAGTTCTAGTTCAGTTCTAATTCAGTTCTAGTTCAGTTCTAGTTCAGTTCTAGTTCAGTTCTAGTTCAGTTCTAGTTCAGTTCTAGTTCAGTTCTAGTTCAGTTCTAGTTCAGTTCTAGTTCAGTTCTAGTTCAGTTTAGTTCAGTTCTAGTTCAGTTCTAGTTCAGTTCTAGTTCAGTTCTAGTTCAGTTCTAGTTCAGTTCTAGTTCAGTTCTAGTTCAGTTCTAGTTCAGTTCTAGTTCAGTTCTAGTTCAGTTCTAGTTCAGTTCTAGTTCAGTTCTAGTTCAGTTCTAGTTCAGTTCTAGTTCAGTTCTAGTTCAGTTCTAGTTCAGTTCTAGTTCAGTTCTAGTTCATTCTAGTTCAGTTCTAGTTCAGTTCTAGTTCAGTTCTAGTTCAGTTCTAGTTCAGTTCTAGTTCAGTTCTAGTTCAGTTCTAGTTCAGTTCTAGTTCAGTTCTAGTTCAGTTCTAGTTCAGTTCTAGTTCAGTTCTAGTTCAGTTCTAGTTCAGTTCTAGTTCAGTTCTAGTTCAGTTCTAGTTCAGTTCTAGTTCAGTTCTAGTTCAGTTCTAGTTCAGTTCTAGTTCAGTTCTAGTTCAGTTCTAGTTCAGTTCTAGTTCAGTTCTAGTTCAGTTCTAGTTCAGTTCTAGTTCAGTTCTAGTTCAGTTCTAGTTCAATTCTAGTTCAGTTCTAGTTCAGTTCTAGTTCAGTTCTAGTTCAGTTCTAGTTCAGTTCTAGTTCAGTTCTAGTTCAGTTCTAGTTCAGTTCTAGTTCAATTCTAGTTCAGTTCTAGTTCAGTTCTAATTCAGTTCTAGTTCAGTTCTAGTTCAGTTTCTAGTTCAGTTCTAGTTCAGTTCTAGTTCAGTTCTAGTTCAGTTTTAGTTCAGTTCTAGTTCAGTTCTAGTTCAGTTCTAGTTCAGTTCTAGTTCAGTTCTAGTTCAGTTCTAGTTCAGTTCTAGTTCAGTTCTAGTTCATTCTGTGTTCAGTTCTAGTTCAGTTCTAGTTCAGTTCTAGATTCAGTTCTAGTTCAGTTCTAGTTCAGTTCTAGTTCAGTTCTAGTTCAGTTCTAGTTCAGTTCTAGTTCAGTTCTAGTTCAGTTCTAGTTCAGTTCTAGTTCAGTTCTAGTTCAGTTCTAGTTCAGTTCTAGTTCAGTTTCTAGATTCAGTTCTAGTTCAGTTCTAGTTCAAGTTCTAGTTCAGTTCTAGTTCAGTTCTAGTTCAGTTCTAGTTCAGTTCTAGTTCAGTTCTAGTTCAGTTCTAGTTCAGTTCTAGTTCAGTTCTAGTTCAATTCTAGTTCAGTTCTAGTCAGTTCTAAGTTCAGTTCTAGTTCAGTTCTAGTTCAGTTCTAGTTCAGTTCTAGTTCAGTTCTAGTTCAGTTCTAGTTTCAGTTCTAGTTCAGTTCTAGTTCAGTTCTAGTTCAGTTCTAGTTCAGTTCTAGTTCAGTTCTAGTTCAGTTCTAGTTCAGTTCTAGTTCAGTTCTAGTTCAGTTCTAGTTCAGTTCTAGTTCAGTTCTAGTTCAGTTCTAGTTCAGTTCTAGTTCAGTTCTAGTTCAGTTCTAGTTCAGTTCTAGTTCAGTTCTAGTTCAGTTCTAGTTCAGTTCTAGTTCAGTTCTAGTTCAGTTCTAGTTCAGTTCTAGTTCAGTTCTAGTTCAGTTCTAGTTCAGTTCTAGTTCAGTTCTAGTTCAGTTCTAGTTCAGTTCTAGTTCAGTTCTAGTTCAGTTCTAGTTCAGTTCTAGTTCAGTTCTAGTTCAGTTCTAGTTCAGTTCTAGTTCAGTTCTAGTTCAGTTCTAGTTCAGTTCTAGTTCAGTTCTAGTTCAGTTCTAGTTCAGTTCTAGTTCAGTTCTAGTTCAGTTCTAGTTCAGTTCTAGTTCAGTTCTAGTTCAGTTCTAGTTCAGTTCTAGTTCAGTTCTAGTTCAGTTCTAGTTCAGTTCTAGTTCAGTTCTAGTTCAGTTCTAGTTCAGTTCTAGTTCAGTCAGTTCAGTTCTAGTTCAGTTCTAGTTCAGTTCTAGTTCAGTTCTAGTTCGTTCTAGTTCAGTTCTAGTTCAGTTCTAGTTCAGTTCTAGTTCAGTTCTAGTTCAGTTCTAGTTCAATTCTAGTTCAGTTCTAGTTCAGTTCTAGTTCAGTTCTAGTTCAGTTCTAGTTCAGTTCTAGTTCAGTTCTAGTTCAATTCTAGTTCAGTTCTAGTTCATTCTAGTTCAGTTCTAGTTCAGTTCTAGTTCAGTTCTAGTTCAGTCTAGTTCAGTTCTAGTTCAGTTCTAGTTCAGTTCTAGTTCAGTTCTAGTTCAGTTTCTAGTTCAGTTCTAGTTCAGTTCTAGCTCAGTTCTAGCAGTTCTAGTTTCTAGTTCAGTTCTAGTTCAAGGTTCTAGTTCAGTTCTAGTTCAGTTCTAGTTCAGTTTTAGTACATTTCGGTATCTTCGCATTTTAGTTAGTTTGTGGGTCATTGGGCCTATTATCACAATTCTCCCCATTTTATTTATTACTCTAATCGTACTCAATTTTAATGTAACGGTCATTTGTTTATGTATGT